TTGCAAAATACATAAAGCAAAAACTGACAAAAGTGAAAGGAAAACTAGACAAATCTATAATATAGTTGGAGATTTCAACACTCCTCTCTCATTGATAAAATAATAAAGAACCAATAGAGGTAAAGATTAATTAAAGATCACTATCAACCAACTTGAGTAATTGACATAGAATACTCCACCCAACTACAGCAGAATAGACTTCCAAGTATACATAAAACATTAATCAAGAAATACCATATGCTGGGCCACAGAACAAGTCTAAGAAAATTTTAAAGAACTGAAATCAAACAGATTATGTTCTCTAACCAGAATACATTCTCCGACCAGAACATAACTAAATTAGCATTAGTAACAGGAAAATATCAAGAAAACTCCCAAATATTTAGAACAGACTTCTAAATAACTCATGAGTCAAAGAGAAATCACAAAGCATATTCGAATATATTTTAAACTGAATAAAAATTAAAACACAGGGGCCCCTGGGTGGCTCAGTCGTTAAGCGTCTGCCTTTGGCTCAGGTCATGATCCCAGGATCCTGGGATTGAGCCCCGCATCTGGCTCCCTGCTCCTCGGGAAGCCTGCTTCTCCCTCTCCCACTCCCCCTGCTGGTGTTCCCTCTCTCGCTGTGTCTCTCTCTGTTAAATAAATAAAATCTTAAAAAAAAAGTTATAAATTTAAAAAAATGAAAACACATATCAAATGTGTGAGATGCAGCTAAAGCAGGGCTTCGAGGAAAATTTATAGCTTCATATGCTTTTATGAGAAAATAAAGATGTAATATCAAATAAGTAAAAGGAAATAATACAGATGAAAGTATAAATCAATGAAATAGAAAAAAGACAAAATATAGAGAACAATTAACTAAAAGCAGGTTCTCCAAAATGAGCAATAAAATTGATAAACCTCTAGCTAGATCAGATAAGGAAAAAAGAGAAAACACATTTCTAGTATATGGAATAAGAAGAGCCATCACTACAGATCCTTCAGACATGAGAAGGAAAAGAGTAATAAGGAACAGTATGAAAAAATTCTGTGCCAATAAACTCAACTGCTAAGATTAAAAAGGTAAATTTAATGAAAGGAATAAAAGGTTGTTTTAACAATCAAAAAGCAATTCTATAACATTATAAAGGAAGTAAATCATGAGCATCTCCATAGATGCAGAAAACACACTTGACAAAATTCAACACCCATTTATGATTAAAAAAAAAAACAAACCTCTCAGCTAATTAAGAAAGGAACTGCCTCACCTTGATAAATTTATGAAAATGTATTAAGAATATAACACTATAGCTAACATAGTATTTAAAAGACTAAATGCGGCGCCTGGGTGGCTCAGTTGGTTAAGCAACTGCCTTCAGCTCAGGTCATGATCCCAGGGTCCTGGGATCGAGTCCCACATCGGGCTCCCAGCTCAGCGGGGAGCCTACTTCTCCCTCTGACCCTCTCCCCTCTCATGCTGTTTCTCTCCCGCTCACTCTCTAATAAATAAATAAATACATAAATAAAATTAAAAAAAAATAAATAAAAGACTAAATGATTTCCCCATAAAATTAGGACTAAGAAAAGGATGTCCACCCACATCACTTCTATTTAGCATTGTACTAGAAGTACTAGCCTGTGTAAAACAAGAAAAAAATACGAGGCATGGAGATTAGAAAGTAAGAAATAAAGGTGTTTTTATTCACAGATGACATGATTGTGTATGTAAAAATTCTGAAGGAATCAACAAAAAAGATGCTAGAATTAAAAAGTGAATTTACCAAGATCACAAGATAAAAGGTCAATAAAAAAAAATTGTATTTCTATGTTCATGGCCTGTGCAATGAGAACTAAGCCATATTGTTGAGAGAAATTAAAGCTATAAAATGGAGGAATATACCACGTTCATATACTGAAGACTCAACATTGTTAAGAAGTCATTTCTACCCAGATTGATCTCTAAATTCAGAACAATCCCAATGCACATACAGCAGGGTTTTTTGTAGAAATTGACAATCTGATTATAAAATTTATATGAAAATGCATATAAGATGCAAAGATCCTAAAAGGGTCAAATAATTTTGATAAAGAAAAACAAAATGGGAGGCCTTAAAATGTCTAACATCAAGATGTATTACAAAGCTACAATAATTAAGACAGTGTGGTATTGGCACAAGGATAAACACAGAGAACAATAGAACAGGAAAGAGTCCAGAAACAGATACAAACATTACTGCCTGAGGCTATATTGACTAAGATGGGGAGGGCTCTATCATGGGAATGAAATGTACTATATCTTAATTGTGGTGGTTACATGGTATATACCTTTGTCAAACCTCACTGATGCTTGTACACTTTATTTTGCATTTAAAATGGATGTATTTTATTATATGTAAATTACACCTAAATAAAGATTATTTTAATACATATTTTGAAACAATCCCCCAAACTTATCTTTACTAATGTGAATCTAACCTAGAAAGGAACTAACAATTATTAAGGGCCTATAACATGCCAAACACTGGGTTCTGCACACTGAATTTTCACAATCATCTTCTAAAGTAGAAATTATTCATCAAATCTTTACATTTGAAGAAATGTTAGCATTTGCAAATTCAACCAGCTGTAAGTTGGGGAGTCAAGAATCAAGCCTAAGTACACCTCTAATGCCCATGTTGCTACCATCACCACCCTCTTAGGTCTTTGCTATAGAAACTTCTTACCAAAGCTACTACTATCCACCAAAATCATTTTTTAAGCCTACCTTGTTGTTGTTGTTTTTTAACCTTCCAAGACAAATCACTTGAAAATAGCTCCTGAATAATGACAATGACAGGCTCACCACTATGTGTTAAGTACCTCAAGCTACAGAATAAAAAATACATAATAGACTCATGAAGCTAAGTACAAGCAAATTTCAACTTAAGAGTCTTTCCAGCCTCACACAGCAAGGTAAGTGATAAAATTGTCTGTAATGCTCTTTACTGGTAGATTCTCCCACTGGGATTTTTAAACTTTGAATATATTTTTAAACTTTGAATTGTATATTCGTGCCAAGGACTACATGGTTGAACTACCTATGCATTAACCTGTTACAAAACAAAAATTCTGAAATTTAACACCTAAAAGTATTAGGCAAACAAAGAACCACAAATAGTGACCAAGATCTTTACTGCCCTAATGTTACAAAAGGCGTAAAAATATCCAAGAGGAGACCCAAGGAAAGAATATGGGAGAAGATGGGATTTGAGATGAACACGAAAGGAAGAGATTTACAGATGGCCTGAGGACAGCTGACATCAGGAACATTCCTTGTCCTATGGACTTTCTTAATTCATAAGTCTTAACTGGGAACCACAGGAGATGATAGTTCCAGGAAAACATACTTTTGCTGTCTTTGCTTGTAACAGCAAGAAATAGTGCCACCAGAGCTCTGCTGCCAGTATTACTCCTCCAAGTGTTCTTCACTCCCATCTTTGGTCCCAGGAATACCCCTTGGTGAAATGAGTGTGATGACTAAATAGGAAACCGATGGTATCGCTTCTACCACCATCTTCAAAATCCAAAAGACAGTCTTCATAATGTACATATATTCCTCTTACGTGTGTTGGACTGGATGTTCCTCACAGATCAAAAAATTGGACTGGGAAAGCTCATGTTTCAAAGTTACCTAGAGGGTGTCACTAGAGAGAACTGTAAGCAGACATGCTGACTGCTTTCCCTGTTGACACTGGACTAAAACTTGGAAGCTTGAATGATGGAGATGTTATTACACAGCTCAGGATGGTGTCATCGTAAGGCTTCATTTCAGTGTTCCCATAAGTCTTAAGTGCACATATTTATAACTTTCACTTATCACTTATCAGGGTAAATTTAAAATTGATTCATAAAAAATTATCTTTTTCTGGATTTTCAAGGACACAGAAATTTGTGAACAATAGTATTTTTACTTCTTAAATGCTTTTTCCCCTCCTAATTCTACTCCCCAACATTATCTGTTAATGGAGTTTTGTGCATATCCTTTTGGGGTATACTGATAAATAAAGTGATATGCAAGTAGTCTCATGGGCCCATACATTAGTTTTAGTTTTCTATGCAGTGAACATGCTTATATATAGATTATTTTTAATTTCTCCACCTAATTTGTTGAAATAGTCCCAGTAGTTCCACTTCATTGGAATTAAGGATATCCAAAATTTGTATTTTGAGTCAAAAGTAGAGGTTTCCCCAAAATAGTAGATTGTCATCAATCTTATCCCCCAGTGTTTGTCTACGAGACTTTTTCTAAAACAGTACAAACATTAGATGTCAGTGTTTTAATCTTTGACAATATGACATTACAAAGAAATTGCTTTTCTTTGGTTATTGCTAAGTTCAAACATCTTCATATATCCTTAAACCTTACTACTCTTTTGTTATTTCACTTTCCTCTATGTTTTGTTTTGTTTTTTTCATTTCCCTTGGAATATTAGTGTCTTTGTTACCGGTTTCTAAAGAGATCATTTATGACTAAGGATGTCAACCATTTGCCAAAGGAAATACCATGTTTTCTCACCAACATTTTACAGTGATGTTTTACTTTTTGGTTGTACAGAAGTTGCATTTTGAAATATAATAATTTTCTGCTTTAAAAAAATGTATACCCGGGGCGCTTGGGTGGTTCAGTTGGTTAAGCGACTGCCTTCGGCTCAAGTCATGATCCTGGAGTCCTGGGATTGAGTCCCGCATCGGGCTCCCTGCTCAGCGGCGAGTCTTCTTCTCCCTCTGACCCTCTTCCCTCTCATGCTCTCTGTCTCTCATTCTCTCTCTCTCAGATAAACAAATAAAATCTTTAAAAAAAATAAAAATAAATAAATATATACCCAAGAGGAAGGCAGCAGAAAATATCGTCCGAAAACTTCAAGATAGAGGAGCTAAAGGTGAGAAATAAGTAAGTGTACTTACATTGGGTGTTAAATTAACACTACCTTGTGTAAAAATCACATTTTTACTAACTCACATAGACAATGCATACTTACAGTTATGTGAACATTGAGGAATCATCATTGCAATGTTGAAATATTCAAAGCAAATTCCACACCGCAGCAAATCATCTATTGTCTGAAATGCAAAAATACATATATACCTATCAGAAAAACACCAAGACTGGAATGTCTGCCACAGAACTCTTTCTCCATCCCCTAAAAAAAACAATTTAAGAATACTCTTCTGTCAAATATACAAATTCAAAATTAACTCCACATAAACTGCAAGGAATCTTGACAAATCAAGAAAAACCTTCCTCATATGACTTACACATTCAATCGTCAAGTTACCGAAAAAGCTTTCGACAGATAAAGTGGACACTGTACAGACTCCTGGTCCATACTGTCAACCCTTTACAAAAGGGCTACTCCACTTCTGTTCCATTAACCATGTGTTTCCAACTTACTCCAAGCTTCTTCCTCTTCAGACCCCATTCCCTGGCCCACAGTCACTGTTGGGTGAAAGGTACCAATAACCATTCACCACACAGGTTAAGAACAAAATCAGAGACTATTAAAACCAAACATCAGAAAGCATCTAGTTAAAACCCTTACTTCACAAGTGAGGAAGCACACACAAATAACTGGGCATGAGTCAAGCCAGGACTAAACTTCCTGTCTCCCTGCTGGCAGTCAGTCCAGTGCTTTCTGCATGGTCCCACATGTTAATTACTACATGGTGGAACCAACTGAGGAAGCCCTGGAAAGAGCTGGAGCCAGTGGTGGCAGAAGAAGGTAAAGACGTGGTCAATCTGAGAAGTCAGACATATGTGTGTCAGCCTGGAATGCAATCCAAATAGGAAAGGATCTATTCTCACAATGCAAAATCTTCTAAATCATTTAAAATTTATTCCATTCAATAAGAATAATGAGCGGTTTTTAAGAGGAAAAAAAAAAAAAAAAAAAGACAGAGCTCACTCATGTACCAACATGGAAAGATTGCCAAAATAAGTGCAAAAAAGAAGTCAGGTAGGGGCACCTGGGTGGCTCAGTCAGTTTAGCGTCTGCCTTCAGCTCAGGTCATGATCCCAGGGTCCTGGGATCAAGCCCCTCATCGGGCTCTCTGCTCAGCAGGGAACCTGCTTCTCCCTCTCCCTCTGCCCCTCCACCCCACACATGCGCTCACTCTCTCTCTCACTAATAAGTGAATAAGATCTTTAAAATGAAATTTTAAAAAAGAAGGTATGCTACTGTTTGTTAAAAAAAAAAAAGAGGGCGGAATAAAAATGTATTCTATTTTTACCTTGTATACATATAAAGAAATCCTGAAAAGTTACACAATAAAGAAATAATAGTAACAGAAGTAAAAAAAATGGATAAAGGACAGATTGGGAGGGAGACTTTTACTCTTTGTTTCACATTTTTAAACCATGAGTGTATTACCTAAATTTTAAAAATAAAAACAAAAAAAGACTAATGTCACTAACAATCTATATGATGAAATATTATGTAGCCACTTAAAAAAAAAAACAAAACACGCTTTCAAAGAATAATTAATGCCATGAGAAAATGTTCATGTTTTAATGGAAACTTAAAAAAAATCATAGAATCTACAATACATTACAATAGAATTATACAGTTTAATCTCCCTAACAATCTTATGAAGTCTATAGCACCTATTCCAGTTTTACAGATGAAGCCTACAGTGCTTATAAGTGGTCGAATCAAACCCAAGAAGTCAACTCCAAAGTGATCCCAAATTTTAAATGCATATACACATCATACACGCACATTAAACAGCAAAAATATTAAACCATGGTTACCTCCAGATGGTAGGGTGATGGGGAACTTTCATTTTCTCCTTTATCCTAATCGGAATTTTAATTTTTTCTACTATATACACATACTCCATTTATAATCTGCCAAAACCAAAAGTCCTGTTACTATAAAACCAGGGAAATAAACATAAAAATGCCAAAATCTTCCATTATTTTGGATGGTAAGCTACCACTGACACAAAAAGCTAGAGGACTGTGTTGCACACCAATTAAGAGCAGAGGCGGGGCTAGAAGTCAGAGTCCTGGCATCTCTATTGTGCTTTCTTCTATATACCACCCTCTTCTGGAGGAGTGGTTCTGACACATACTGAGCAAGATTTGTGGAAGGTGACACTGTATCAGATGAGCTATAATATTTTTATACAAACTTCTAGTCATACCATTTCAAGAGCGTAACATGCACTCCACTAAACAGAGAGCAGTTAAGTGGATGCTCTAGGACTTCTTCAACTTAGAAGAGGGGAAAGTGGAAGGGGAAAGTAGGAAATGAGTGAAAAGACTTAATACCTAGAGGAAAGGTTCTTAAGTTTTTTGGGTCACAGATCCCCTTATACATATGAATAAAAACTACGAACTCTCTTCTCAAAAAAACCTACACAAACAAAACTCTTATAAATAATTCTGGATACGAAAGTCTTTCCATGGATCCTAGGTTAGCAACGATGGATTTGGAATCAGATTTTATTTAGTATAAGAAAGAATTTCAAAATTAGCTGCTACTTCCAGGAGCAGCTAATTCCTGGAAAAAGTTCAAGCAAAAACTAGGTGAGAAAATGACAAATACATTACAAAGAGATTAAAATACATAGATCAGTGGAAGAGGAAAGAGAGCCCACAAATAAACCAACACCTATACAGTCAATCTACAACAAAGGAGGCAAGAATATACAAAGGGGAAAGGACAGTCTTTTCAACAAATGGTGTTGGGAAAACTGCAAAAGAATGAAACTAGACCACTTTCTTATACCATACACAAAATAAATTCAAAATGGATTAAAGACTTAAATGTAAGTCCTGAAACCATAAAACTACTAAAAGGAAAAATAGGCCGTAATCTCTCGGACATCACCTGAGCAACATATTTATAGATATGTCTCCTCAGGCAAGGGAAACAAAAGCAAACATCAACTATTGAGACTACACAAAATAAAAGGCTTTGCACAGCAAAAGAAATCAGCAACAAAACAAAAAGGCAACCCAGTGAATGGGAGAAGATGTTTGCAAATGATATATCCAATGAGGGTCAATATCTAAAATATAGAAAGAACTTACACAACTCAACACCAAAAAAGCCCCAAATAATCCCATTAAAAATGGGCAGAGGACCTGAATAGACATTTTTCCAAAAAAAGACATACAAATGGCCAACAGATGCATGAAAAGATGCTCAACATCACTAATCATCAGGGAAATGCAAAACAAAACCATCCTGAGATACCACCTCACACCAGTCAGAATGGTGTGAATCAAAAAAAGAAATAACAGGTGTTTGTGAGGATATGGAGAAAAGGGAGCCCTCCTGCACTGTTGGTAGGAATGTAAATTGGTGCAACCACTATGGAAAACACTGTGGAGTTTCCTCAAAAAACTAAAAACAGAAATATTATGTGATCCGTAATTCCACTACAAGGTATTTACCCAAAGAAAATGAAAACACTAATTTGAAAAGACACATGCACCCCTATGTTTATTGCAGCATTATTCACAATAGCCAAGATAGGGAAGCAACCCATGTCAGTGAATAGGTGAATGCATAGAGAAGATGCGGTGCATATATATACAATGTAATATTACTCAGCCCTAAAAAAGAATAAGATCTTGCCATTTGTGACAACATGGATGGACCTAGAGGGTATTATGTATGCTAAGTGAAATAAGTCTGACAGAAAGACAATACCATATGATTTCACTTTTATGTGGAATCCAAAAAACAAAGCAAATGAACAAACAAAAAACAGACTCTTAAATACAGAGAACTGGTGGTTGCTGGGGTGGGGGGGATTGGGCAAAATAAAGAGTAGTAATAGGTATAAACAATTAAAATAAAATAAAGAGCTATTAAAAAAACAGAAAAGAAAATACTGGAGGGGGCTGGCTTTCCACCATGATTCTAATATGGGCTCAATCAACTCCATCACTGAACACTCTCAGGTGCTGTGGTGAGACATCAAATCCGTAGAAGACATGGAACCTGCCTCTAAAGAACTCTGGAAGTTGTGGTAAAATATGCTTAAATCTACAAAGCAAGAAGCTTTACAAAGCTTTTACTTCCTTTATCCAATTCAATCTTCAAAATAACAAATAAAATAACAAATAAAAAGGGGGGAAAGAAACAACACATGTTAAGTGCTAATAATTATAATAAAGACATATTAACTGAATGCTTACTCCTTCCAGATACTTAGAACCTTCAACCAATTAGCAAATAATCTTTAAGCATGCACTATGTGCCAGACATTGTGTTAAGCACAGTGAATAAGCCAGCTAGAATCCCTATTCACACAGATCAACTCATTTAACCAACACTATAAACTGTTTATTTTTGTCTCCACTTTACAGTTGAGGAAATTCAGGCTCAGAGAGGTTGAGTAACCAACCCAAGATTAACACAGTTAAATAAGAGCCAGAGACCAGATTTAACCCAAGACCACTGGAACTCAAATCTATGTTCTCCTCCAAAGTACCTTGATACCAAGGCCACCACAACTCCAAAACTACATCTTTCCTAGATCCTTCCCCAATGTCAGCTTTTCACGATGGGGCTATCTCAAGTCCCCAAGCACCGTAGATGACACTGGTGACGGCAAGAAGAAAGGCCTTATACTTACTTTAACCTCCCCCAAGTCCCTTCACTTAATCCTCAAAGTCAGTCTTATGAGTCAGCGGGGACAGATACCATAATCCCCATATTTACCACACTGAGGAGTAGAACTAGAAAGTGATCTTGCACACAGTCACAAACAGAAATACATAATTACAGATCAAGAAGAAAAACGAAGTAACTGATTCTTAGCTAGCACAGCAAAATGTGTTTGCTCTTCTTGATCAAGCACACAGGGCTCACTGCTACTGTAAATGGAACTGGAATGCCTTGCCAAGAACAACCATGTTATTTAAGTGAAATAATATAATGAAATGAAAGGCTAGTGCTGAGCCTGAGCCCTGATCTCGTTTAAAAGAGATACAAACTGTTAAGAGTTAGGACACGTCAGGAGAAGCCAATCAGCACTAGGTAGTTATAAGAAATGAAAAAATGTCAAGGAAATGGGAAATTCTCAAATAATGTGCCGCAAGAGTTTACATATGCTTGACATGTAGTAGGCCCTCAGAAAGGGTTAGTTGTCACTGTCGTTTTCACTGTTTAGAGTGACTATTTTTCTCGAGGTCATTGTTATTGCTGTGGCTGAACCGCTTAATACCCGGTTCCATAAGACGGCCAACCTAAGCTCACCACGAGGGACCGAGGCCTGACCCCGTCACTTCTCGGCAGGAGGAAACTGAGGCCCAAATCTACCAAGTCGCTAAGTGGCAGAGCAGAGCCGGGTACCCTGGCCCAGCTCGCACCTCGCGCCTCCCCTTTTCTCCTTCTCACACCGGGACTGGCCTCCCGCGGACACCCGGGAACTCCCACCTCCCCAGAGCACTCACCTTCATGACTGCCAGGCCTGGAGGCCACCGAGGCTCGACTAGGGAGTCCATGGTCTCTCCTAGGTAGGCCGGTGGGGGTTCCAGCACCCACTGGCCTCCAGCGCGCCACCGCTACTCGAAATTCCCCGCGCTACGGCGTTACGTCACCAGTCAGCGACGCGCCTGAGGCGTGTGCGGAGCCTGCTGGGAGTTGTAGTACAAGGGCAGAGGGCGGCAAAGACGCTCTCACTGCGCACGCGCCAAGCTTCCCCTTTGCTTCTCAAGGCAGGTAAGTGGCTAAAAAGCCCACATCATGTTTTGTAGCAGACCCTTGTTAAATAAATGCCTGTTGACTGTTAGGAAAAGACAGTCAGGAATCAAACTAAATCCAGACCTTGACAAACCGTTCAAGGTCTAGCCTCATGCCTCCTCCTCACGTTGCCCTCCGTGATTGCTATACGGATCTGTCCCTGCTCTCAGTAGGGGTTTTCATATCTATTATTTCATCTCACCCATCACAACACTAAGAGATAAATGTTACCATTGTTAGTCTACACAAGAGAAAGCTTCCGCTCAAAAAAAGTGAATAGAGTTTCCTTGAGTCATAGAGTGTCATTGCCCAGACTACAAATAAGGGCCTCTGGACTTTAAACAGGAGTGCTTTCTTTTCTCAAAATAAAATTTTAATTTTATTTTTTTCTGCAGGGATAACCACCTTAACTCTGGCGTGTAGCCTTTCAGATGTCCAATGCAGATATACAGATACAGCTTTTTCCCCCACAAATATTATTATATTAAATGCATAGCTTTGTCAACTTGAGTTTTCTGTTTATTTAACCATACATCTTAAGACCTCTCCGTATTAATAATGTACATATTTACCTCATTCTTTTTAATAGCCACATAGTCCATAACATAGATGTACCACAGTTTATTTGCCTACCATACTGTGGAGCATTTGGGTTATTTCCAGTTTTTCACTATTGCAAAGAGTTGCAATGAACACACTACCTGTATAAATCTTGGTGCACTTGGGCCAAGGTATCTGGGGGCTGATTTCCTATAAATGGAATTACTAGGTTAATTTGTGAATTTGTTTCCTCTTTTAAAATTATGATAGCACTATATGATTTTCCAAAGACGCTGATTTATACTAATACATTTATACATTTATACTCTCACCAGGCAAGTATAAAAATGCCTGTTATCAAAAAAAAAAAAGAATGCCTGTTATCCAAATGTGAAGCTGACCAGCACACCACCCAGTCTGCCCATTTGACTCAGTACTCACCCACGGCTTGATGTGGGTCTCTATTGCACCAGGTCTCAAGACCAGCTGGTCAGCAGTTACGTTGCTCAGGGCAGACCCCTGCTGCTTGCTACTGCTGCCCAACATAGTCCATGCATTCATTCATTCAACTTTTTTTAAGTGCTTACCCTTGTCCAAGCACTTGAGCTACCCTACGAAGTAGGCAGAGGTGAAGTTGTTGTCGTCATCATGCAGACAAAGACACTGAGGCTCAGAGAGGTTAAGGCTTTGCTTTTTTCGGCCATCTTCATAAGAAACTCTGGCCTCCAAGCCAGAGCTGTATTCAATTGATTTTTCCCAGCCTGTGCCCAAATATTCATTGGGCACTAATATTAACAGCATTTGGACAAAGGACTTTAATACCCATTACAATAATAGCTGACATTCATTAGGCACTTGCATGCAAAGTACTGTTCCAGGTGTTTTTATACAATTTGACTTATTTCAGACTCACTCCAACCAAATGAGGAAAGGGGACTAAAAAGATAACTTGCTTAGGGCATTCTGCTGGTAAGTGGAAGAGGAAGGATTTGAACTCAGGCAGTCTGGCTTAAGAGTCCATATTAACCATTACAGAATAGTCTCATAAAAAAAAAAATCATCAGGAGAATTATTCCCATTTTATAGATGAGGCCACTGAGTCTCAGAGAGGTAAAGGGATTCATTCAAGATCACACAGCTTGTTAGTGGCAAAGTCCAGCCTTGAATCTGGGTCTTTTAACCCACCATAAAAGATCATCCGCTGACACTTTACGGCGGAGTAACTGAGCAGACAAGGCCTCCCAGGCCAGAGATCTGAGACTCCCAGGGTGCCTCACTTTGTGGGCCTCCAACAGGACGGTGGGGAGTGGCCTAGAGGGGTGGAGGGTCAGGGGGCTGCAAAGGGTTTGTATCAACCAATCAGAAAAGGGCATGCAAATGAACTCCAAGAGGCGTTGCCGGAAGTGGATAATGGGGCGGGGGACACAGGCTTGGAGAGACTAAGAGCAGGTCCCAGAGCTGACTGCACTAGTGATCTCCCCTTTATATAGTACTCGTAGGTTGAAGATGACAAAAGGCTGAGAAGGTGAGAGAAAAAGAAGAGAGAGAAAAGAGAAAAAGAATAAGGAAGGAGAAAGAGAGAGAAAGAAAAGCATTCTTCCCGTTGATTCAACCATGAAGACAGATTTGGGACAGGCATCACTTGTTGGTCCTGGGCTCCAGATCCATCTCTCCATCTCTGGAGAGCCTCCAGGGCAGCGCCCAGTGCCGTTCATCTCTGAGTTCCTGCCACCAGCTGCTCAGTGCGACTGAGGAAGTGAATCACCGGAATCAGCCCACATTCCCGTGAATCTCTTCCTCGCAGGCTGAACGATACACACTTCCTGCCCTCTTCGACAGTGCCTACTCAAGCCCAACTCTGGGCCCGGAAAGGAAAGTCCAAGCAACAGCACAAGCAGCTTCTGAAAGCAGCTCAGACTTCAGGACAAGGCATTTGCCTTGCCCTCCCCATGGTATTTACCCGACCCCTTGGAGCTAATCTGCTCTAACAAGCTGCTGTTTTCGCAGACATTCTCCTTCTGTTAGATCAATAAAGAGACTACTTCCTTATTCAGGAGTGAAAACAAAATGTTCCATATTTAAAAAGCAGGCTAATGCTCAGAAGAATCTCCCTTTGCACTTAGCACAAAGTGACGATCTGGGGTAGGGCCACCAGAGAAAATACAGGATGCCCTGTAAATTTCAATTTCAGATAAACAGCAAACAATTTTTTCGGGGCACCTGGGTGGCTCAGTTGGTTAGGCGACTGCCTTCGGCTCAGGTCGTGAT